AAACGGAGCCAAATGTGAAAATATGGGTGAGGCTATTGGTGGCTGAGCAGTCTAAACTGAGTCAATACCAAGCTTGTGGACTGTAGTTTAGCCCCCCCCCCCCCTTTTCATTACCCTCGGATGGCAAATCATCTAAGAGAAGGTAAACTCTTATGTCAGACACCGAGATGGAGTCCCGTAGGCGGTGTGCCATTAACACAATGAAAATTATGAAAAATCCTGCAACGTGTAACGCATAAAGAGCACAGAGAGACACAAAAAGCAAGACAAAAAAACAATTCTGGTCATCTACTGCAAGCAGGGGTGGAAAGCAATGAATGATTGCAGTATTAGTCTCAAGGTGCTTGAGTAATTTTATTCAACCTGCAACCAATTGTAAAACTAAAACATTTGCCCTGTACCATGCACTGTTTGCCACAAACACTAGAACACTAATTTAAACAGTTGTTTTTTCTGCAACATTCTTCTATGTATATAATTGTTCTACTTTTTAGCAGTGAGCTGGAATTGTTTCCCTTGCCAAGCTCAAATGATTTTACATTATGAAAAAAAAAAAATACCATTTGAAATTTCTACTTACAGCACAGTGGCAACAGCTACAAAGTTATCACAAAGCTAGGACTTTATTGTTTTGTTCCTGAATTTACACATAATTAAACTCTGTTTCCAAACTAATCATAAATTATTTTTCTTTAAAACATAATTTAAAAAAGATACAGTTTGCTTGCCCAGTGGAAGTCTCTGGCACACATGGTAGATTCAAGATGATAAGATTAGCATTGCCAGATTTTTCCTTCATCATCGAGTTCAGTGTTACAGCTGTGGTCATGTGACGAATGTTTTCATGACTAATTTCATTACAGAAGAAAACAAGAAAGCTCTGGCTATTGTGGTGGGACTCACAAGAAATTTTAGTAGCCTCTTAAAAACATCATACTACCAACAGAAGCTTTCAAATGTACACTTTTCTCACAAATATTTAGAGCAATAATGTAAAGCTTTTTTTACTTACAAAAAAAAAAATATGAATCATATTTTATTTCATGACCATGGTTCCGAATCAACAACTGATAAATTCTAAATTTTACATTTAAAAATGTCCTGGATTTCAAGAGTTAAGCAGAGCCTCTTTAAAAGCCTCATCCTTGAACCTGAATGGACCCATAGATAAACTATACCTTTATCTTTACCAAACTTCCAACTTCCATAAGAAAATCAAAGACACAACAAAATGTCAAATCCAAGAGCTCATGGATATGGTGATGCCTGCAGACATGAGTGGATTCATCTACTTACCTAGGCAGGATGCTGGTTTTCCTTGAATAGGCATCAATGGGAGTAGAGATATCCTCTTGTAAATGTGCCCTTGCTTGCTCAAAAACACTTTGCACTTCCTTCTCCTGCAGACCAAGGTGCACTAATTAAAACATTAATTATAATTCATGGAACCCAATAGAAAAACTATTAATGAATTTAAAGGTTTGTTGTGGTACCGTGATTAGACTACTGAGATTCTACAATACGTGATGTTATGAAATTAGTGGGAACTGGTATGAAATTAGTGGAAACGTAGCGCTGCTGAAAAGAAATAGAGCATGACTTACCATGAGATTTTTTTTTCCAAAGCCCAAAGAACTAATCTGAGGAATAGAAGAAAACAATATATTTTGTTTAAAATTTTGTATTCTTATGTCACACTTTAAGAGAGAATTCTTGTTTCCACAAGAGCAGCTCAATTCAAGATCGTAACAAAGGGAGAACATTTTTTTTTTTTTTTTACATTTTTTTTTGGCCTTCATATCATTTGCATTTCACATCCACTTCTCACTTTATATTTCACGTCCACTTCTCACTTTATATTTCACTTCCACTTCTCACTTTATATTTCACGTCCACTTCTCACTTTATATTTCACGTCCACTTCTCACTTTATATTTCACTTCCACTTCTCACTTTATATTTCACTTCCACTTCTCACTTTATATTTCACTTCCACTTCTCACTTTATATTTCACGTCCACTTCTCACTTTATATTTCACTTCCACTTCTCACTTTATATTTCACTTCCACTTCTCACTTTATATTTCACGTCCACTTCTCACTTTATATTTCACGTCCACTTCTCACTTTATATTTCACTTCCACTTCTCACTTTATATTTCACTTCCACTTCTCACTTTAATTTTTTTTTCCTTTTAAAAATAATTCATTGTTACAATAATGTATGACTTACTTTTCTGAACCGTTTGGACATGAAGTTTAACATTCTTGTCCTTTCTTCCAACTTCAGTGTGCGTTCATAGACATATGCAGACATATCACATTCAGACTGGGCATCGGGGAAAATATCAATTGAATGAAGTGATTAAAGTACAAAGGTTAAGTGTGCAGACAAATTTAATTTGCTGCTTGATGAAAAGATGCGTAAAGATGGTTTCATATATAAACATAACATGTTTTTCAGGCCATTTTTTTAAATGCTGCCAATTCCTTTCCCAGATTATTAACATCCTCAAGTGATTTTTTTTAAACTGGTATATTAATATTTTGAAATGTTCTGTATCCAAATCTCCAGCTGCAGGCATCTGTTAGTTATTTGTCAGAGTATCCATTGAATAAAAATAAAAGAATGAGTAAAAAAGTAAGAAGCCCAAAATTATAATTCATTGATTGATTGATTTGATATTTATATCGCGCCGGTATCCATGCCATTTTAGCATGCCCAGTTCCTTGAGATATTCCGGTGCTGAGCCATCTCTGCAGCTGTACCCCAGGGACAGAATTTTGTAGGTAATGCACTCACTCACAGAAACCCAATGGAGATCTCGTAGAACTGGGGTAATGTGGTCAGATTTTTTCATCCGCGATACAATGCATGCTGCAGTATTTTGTATCTTTTGGAGTCTCTGAATTTGGTTATGAGGTAAACCCCACAAACAACTATTACAGTAATCTAATCTTGACTGGATTAGAGTTACTGCTACAGCATTGGCTGTTCTCCTATTGAGTTGAGGACGCAGCTGACCCAGGGCACGCAGATGACAGAAGCATGTCTTGACAACAGAACTGATGTGGGGAATCATACTAAGTTTACTGTCAATATAAAAGCCAAGGTCTCTGACAGTCGAGGACAACAGGATCTCTGATTCACCAACTTGTAATGATGCATTGGCAACTTTCCGAAGATTGGCGTCTGAACCACAAATAATTGCCTCAGTCTTATCATCATTTAATTTTCGTCTGTTTGATGACATCCAATCTTTCACAGCAAGACAGCAGTCCTCGACAGCCTGAACAGCAGTAGCACAATCCAAGGGATCAGGGCAGAAACACTTGTATAGTTCTGTGTCATCTGCAAATATTTTGTGGGAAATACCATGACTTTCAATAATTTTGCCGAGCTGGCTAGTGCACATGGAGAACAGAATAGGTCCTAAAACTGAGCCCTGTGGCACACCACAGGTAACGGAAGTGTCCATGGAAGATGCCTGCCTCACCACAATACACTGAGTCCTGTCAGTCAGATAAGAAGAAAACCAGCAAAGTTCAGTTCCAGTAATGCCTGCCACATTCAGAAGTCTTGACAGAAGAAGCTCATGGTCGATCACATCAAAGGCATCACTGAGATCCAACAGAACCAAAATTGTCAGATTGCCACGGTTAGCACTACAAAGAGCATCATTCATATCACGGAGCAGTGCTGTCTCACAGCTGTTCCCAGGTTGATATGCAGATTGAAACACGTCAAGTAAGTCATAAGTGTTTAGATGCTTCACAAACTGCTGTGACACAACTCTCTCAAGAATCTTAGATACAAAGGGCAGGCTGGAGACAATGCTGAATATATTCCTTATGAAAGTCCTGCACAACTCAAAATGTAAGGCAGGCCATAATACTTTATGAAAAACTTGTGCGGGCCGAAAGAAAATAGGACAGGGGGGAAAGCTATTAAGAAAATAATAATAAAGAATATTTCATTACTTAGCAGGCCGCAAAGTGGGTGCTGGCGGGCCACATGTGGCCCACGCGCCGTGTACTGTGCAGGCCTGCCCTGCCCTGCGATATTAATTTTAGTGATGTGGGGTTTGGAGCACATTAATTGGCTTTCACATTGCTGCTTAATCTCAAATGCTTGACATTTCCTCTTTGTCATTTCCTTGTATATTTTAGACATGAGACACATCAGCGTACTACATAGATATAGACCATATCCCAACAAAAATTTGTTGGTATTATTAGGAACACAACAAATCTACCATTTCCATCACTTCCACTGTTCCATCAATTCGAAGTTGATAAAGGTAGGTTTCCAGGTCTTTCTTTATTTGCACTGTGTTATCTTCTTCACCTGCGGATTGGTTGAAAAAAAAAACATCGGGTGAAGGGAAATTTAAAACTAAATCATAAAAAAAATATATTTAAAAACAGGTCACTGATTATTCTGAAAATTGTCTTAAAAAATACATTCAAAGTTCATGCAACAGAAATATTTAAAACTTTATTACATTTTTTAAAATGTTATCTTCAAATTTTCAGGGCCCATTTGAAACAATTATTCCTTACATCTTTAATTTGTTAGGTTACAAAAATATCAGAAAATCTATTTAGATAAAAATCTAAGGAAAAAAAAAGGTTTTAAAAAAATGCTTTTGATGAAAGCTGTACCAGCAACGCTGAAGAGCCTCAGCTTGCATTTGGACCATGTTTTGTGTCGTCTCAGGAGATGGCCCAACAGAAGCAGCATTCCGCCATCATGTCACCATGTTAAGAAATTTGTCTTAGTCCAGAAAGAAAAAATGACTAGCAGCAGCACACACACACACACACCAATGTTGGATAGGGTGGAAGGGGGGTGGGGGTGGGTGGGGGTGAGATGTCTGTTGAAGATAAGTATTTGGAGCATTTAAAAACAACAACAACATGTAAACCACGTGTGGGATTGTATGCCCCGTTATTTGGAAATCGCTATTAGACCCGTTATTTTGAGACAACCGCTATTAGTACGAAAACCATGTTTGGTGCCCAACGCGCTGTGTGACCTCGCCTACCACTGGATCGGAATGTTGAACTCAGGTATCCCTTTCACCCCACCCGGACGGTCTCTATACGGCCGTCTTCTCTCGCACATAGGGAGGAAATAATAAAATACCAGGATGTGCGCTTTAGTTAGAAATGCAATAATTTATTTCTCCAGAACCCTAGCGTATTAAGTTATAAATTATATCTAGTTGGAAAGGGGATTCTATTCACTATTCCTTAGCACAGCGGTTCTCAACCTGTGGGTCGCGACCCCTTTGGGGGTCGCGGGACCCTTTTCCAGGGGTCGCCTAGGACCATCTGAAAACATATATCCTTACAGCTATGAAGTAGCAACAAAAATAATTGTGTGGCTGGGGGGTCACCATGACACGAGAAACTGTATTAAGGGGTCACGGCACTAGAAAGGTTGAGAACCACTGCCTTAGCATATTTACAAGTCTCCGTCGTTGGAGGATATTTGAACATTGAGTCATTAAAGGGGTTTTCACCTCCATCCATAGTGGTCCCCACCCCTTCTAGTTAAAATATCTCAAAAAACCATTTAACTCATAGAAATATAAAATAGCATCTTAGAGAGCTGAGACAAAACTGCACAGATCACATAGAAGTCTTTAGGGCGTTGGTCAGGGATTTTAATTATCACTCGGGTGTAGTCCCCAGAGTTAGGCATTTTACCCCAGGAAATTGGCCAGAAGGCAAAACCGAGACCGACTTGGTTTAAGTGTGACGGAGGGGCTCTCTCCATATGTCCGCGCACGGCTTTATAAAGGGGTGCACACTAAGTAGGAGTCATTCGAGATCGGACAGCATCCCTGCAGTGTGCCATTGTTCAGTGCGGCCCATTGGAACGCTCTATATTGTCCTTTTTCTTCATAGTGGACTTTTGCCTTTGTCTTTATATTTTCTTAGGACTTTTCCTTTGGACCTGTCGGTCACAGCGACTTTTTCTGTAGAGCATTAATAAAGCTATAATCCTCGAGACTTGCATTTCTTCATTTGTTTATTAGTAACCGTCAGTGGCAGCCTTGGTACACCCAAGCACCAATCACCCACCACGCACTGCTACACACAAGATGTATTTAGCTGTGGTCATGATCACTGCACCACACTTTAACACAGAATAAAGTTGATGTTTAACATAACACAAAAGGATATTCACTATCCACCATATGTCAATGGTTCCTGTTAAACGCATGCCTTTTGATGGAAAAGTATCAGCCTTTAAGACTATTAGTGCATTGCGTGCAAGAGCAATGTTCCTCATTGTGTCTGTAGACAGAAAAAATAATATTTAATTAGGAATGCCCATCTTATTTTTTAATTTTTTTTATAAAATACAAAAACTAATAAAATCATGTGTTTTACTATCCCGGTGTAAATTTGTATTTTAAAGTTTAGTTACAAATAGGAAAATGTCCAGTATTATGCTATTCACCTTTATTTGTTAAGATAAAGCCATATCAAGATTGTGCTCATGCATCTAAATTAATCATTTTTATGAAATGCCAATAAGTGTATAAATTCTCAATAACTACCTAAAAATATATGGTACGCCATTAAATTTCTGTTGTCTGTCCAGTCCCTTGGCCAGCCCATAAGAATGGTGTTGGGTCTCAGTGCTCCCAATCCTGCAGACTGTATCCTGTGATTGATAAAGCATTGATATAAGAGCAAGACCACAGCCTGTGTCAAGTCAGGACAGAAGTAGGGGGTAAAATCCCATTCAGTGGCAACACAAAACCCATGGAGCTCTCTACTGGATGAAAGACCCCCACTACCATCAAACTGCTTTAGAACAGGAACAACTGGGTGGCATTATACTATAACCAATCACAACTGCATTGAAAAAGATTTCAGACAGGAGCATACAGGCCAATAGGATGAGCAATCTTGCATTGACAGTATATTCGACCCAAGAGCTGGCATTTAAATGGAATGAAGCTCTCTAAGAAAGTGTGTTTATCAAATCAGAGAATGCTTTTGACAGTCTAAACCGTGAGTCACATTGGAACATTCCAGGACACTATGGCATGCCCCAAAAACTGGTCTGCATTATCAATTCACTTCAAAGTTACACTAAAGTGAAGCCAGGGTGTGGATTATTTCAATTTCACCAACTCTACATTCACTGACAAAAGATTTGATCATGCCACAAGCCATAGAAGGGAAGAGGCAAGGCATAAAATGGACACTAACCTCAGTGCTGGAAGACCTGGACTACACAGACGACATGACACAGCCCATCTGGCAAGTAACGACATTCCCAGGAAAAGACAAAGGTCTTAAAGTCAACGCCAGGAAAACACAATAAAGAGAGAAAAAAAGTCCATAATGGAGGACAGATTCACAGAGAACAACACCTGAGAGGTAAACAAAATAACTGGGTAAGGAGCACCAACTCTCTTGAGGAAAGAAGTTACAGAAAATATTTCGTTAATTCGTTTTTAAGTATAATATAAATATAATTTCTATGGTAATTTTTTTCTGACAGATGATGAAAATTTTTTTTAAACTATCAAAATTTATGTTTATTGTAAAAAAAATTTCCATGAAACTTAATGAAAATTTAAAAAACTGTATGTGTTTTTTAAGAAACTTTCATTGGGTATTGTAACAATTTTCACTGTCATCACTAATAATTACATGCAGCTAAGTCCATCAACAACGTTTGGGCTGACAACAACTTCGACGAAACCTTTAACACCAGCATGCTCTAAGCAGCTGAGATAGATCTGGGGAGAAATACAAGATAAGAAATAGATTTAAATTGCTGAAAACTTACTTGTGATGAAATCAGGCTGGACCTTACAATTCTAATAAAAGGATATACATTTTTTTGTAAAAACCTTACTAGACTACCCCCACTTTTTTTTTAAAGTAGGAGTAATTCCCCTTGTTATTGTCTTTGTTGATCTAAAAGTCATTGCGTGTGTCATAAAACGCTTGTTATCCCACACTGCTTGTCATTAAGATGTCATGATATACTATATCAATGTTATTTTATTATAATTAATTTGAGTTATTTTGACTGAGAAAATTCTTTGCCCAACGTAGGTGCTAGCCATACATGCATGCCATGACAATGGTAAGGATAACCATATGTTTGATGTTAATGGAAAAGCTTATGCCCCTTCAATGCCTTGATCTGCATTCATTGTTGTTGGAAAGGGACATATCGGCTTTATTAGGAAAGTTGCTCCCTTTCTTTTTCTTACACCATTTCCCATATAGTCTTGATGTGGCATTGCAAGAAACCAACGCACCTCACCAGCTAGATTTGGGGATAAGTACTGAGGCCTGATTCCAAGGAGTCAGCCAAGCACTGCACATCCACCTACCAAGCAGTGAGCCGGCTTTACAGAGGACTGCAAGTTTCAAGCTCATTTTGTATCTCCTGCTATCAGTGATTCATTTGCTGGTTCAGCCACTATTAAAAACATTTTCTATTTTATCAGAGCTGACAGTGGAGCTGGTCTTTATTAACACTTTGAACCCGAGATCCCACTTTATCCATCAGCGTGTTAAAAACCCATGCTGCCCCATATATTGTCTCACACAACTAAACCTAGATCGACAGTCTGCATATACAGATGTTTTATGAATACAGAGGCCACTGTTTACCATGTGACTTGCTAGAGATTACTTCATTGTAGCATTTTTTGGTTGTGTTTTAGTCATATTTTTTAAAATTTATAGATAGGTATGAAACAAAATAGCAAAAACTTTCTGTTCTCAAGGACTAAAACCAGAGGAGGTAGATGATAATTTAATTTATATGATTCAAAGGATTATGATCATGTTTTTTTTTAAAAAATGTTATAATGAAACCAAATAGACCTTGATTGTGTTGATAGAATGACTTCGAAAAGTGCTGGTGATGCAGTGTGTGCTTTGGATAATAAAGAAACAAAAACTATTCCTAGTCCTAGGTCTGATGTGATATGGCTAAATAAAAAATAAACCTAGAATTAAGTTGACAAATTATTAGAGCGTTGGACTGTGATAAAGCTTTTACATATATTAATGAGTCACAAATTAATTTGTGTAAATAGAATAAGATATTTTAACCTTTAATTATGAATACACAAAATACAAAAAAAAAACATTAATCATAAATTAAATTTGCATAATATATATGTATACTACCTATGCCAAAAAATGAAAAAAAAGAAGAAAAGAATATGAACAGGAACAAGCCCCTAATGAAAACAAAGCTCAGAGGAATTTAAAATAAAGTGGAAGGAAATAAAATTTAAAATAAAGTGGGTGGAAGTAAAATTTAAAAGCCCAACAGGAAAAAAACATTGCAGCTATGTAAAATTGTGAATTTGATTTTTAAAATGTGGAGTCAACGTACCAAATCTTTTTATTACCGGTAATTTGTTTTCCATATAAATCCTATCAGGTGTGCTATCAAACAGATCCAAAAACAAGTACCTACTTGTTGGACCCTTTCCTTTTCCAAAATGAGATCACTTAAGTTGCCTCCCAGGATTGTTCCAAACATTGACAAACCCCTGCCTACACAGGATCATGGCATGTCAAAGTCAAGTTACAAAATTTAGCAGACATAAATAGGGAATCATTTAGACTTGTCTTCTTAGTAGTTAGTGGTGCTTCATTGTGTGGGAAATAAGGAAAGCCAGCAGTATTCAATGTTTGTGGATAAAAATTGTTATCAACTATATTCCACACCCATCCAACACCCCCCCTCACACCTCACCCCCCACCCATACAACCCTAACCCCAGAAAATGAAATGTATGTCTAGTTAATATATTTACCATCTCATTGCATAGAAACACATAGCTATACCCCACGTTTAGAACTACAGTGTGACCAAGTAAACCTATGTGCACAGAATCTGTGTGCCCGAATCCCAACATACTTAAGATCCCTTGAGGTGGCAACAGCTTATTATAAATAATAACCCCAATAAGATTCAGCAAGTCCTGTACAACAAAAAATATATATTTTTTAAAATCCTAATGTATTCCCTTTTACAGTCATTATCACACAGAATTCTATTTTAAAAAATCAGTCATAGGAGATTTTGAGAAGCACTGTTCTAAAATTTTGTTAGTTTCTGCTACTGGCAATAGTTGCTTTGGGTTACTTTATTTTATTATTTTTGAGCATCATAAATAGTTACCTTCCTTTAACATGTCTGCAAGTATAACCAGTGGCTGATCTTCATGATTAAATACGGTTTGTTCATCTTCAAGGTTGGTCATTTTTAGAAGCACTAACACTTGAGGTCTTGGTAAAGATGGTGATAAAACATTTATTGATATATAAAAATGTATTTAAAATCAATAGTCATTTCTATGTCGTGTATATTGAACACAAATGACAAATACGAAAAATTTTGATGGTTGAGAAAAATATTTTAAAATATGAAAGTTTTAGAGCAACCTATAAGCTAACTTCAAAAAAAACTCACTGAAATAAATATGAAATTAAAAAAAACAGCACATATGAACATTGAACCCACTGCACCATATTTTTGTGCCCTGATATTAAGAAGAACAATTTCTAGGGAGGGACAATTTGATTCCAAAGTTGTAAATGTTTCAGTTTAAGCTGCCATTCTATTTATTAACACTAGATCCAGCTTCAAATGTAACATAAGTTTGTACAGATACTAAAATGACAAGGGATGCCATGATATGAAGGTCCTTTTTTTTTTCTTCTTAAAATGACATTCTTTGCACACACCAACTGCCCCTCCCATTCCACTAAAAAAGTTTTTACTTTCAACTTAACGCATACTCTTACTGAACATTTAGGGAGGCAACTGTGTCTCATGAGAGTACTCAATAATTTAGATTGAAGACAACACAAAACCAACATTAGCATTTTCTCTCATTCATACCAAAAGACATTTGATGTTGACCCTAAAATAGATTTTTAAAAAAATATTTATTCTTTAGAATCATATGCAGGTAACTATCTTATAGGAGTCTCAAAGCAATAGACGATGGTTATAAAAAGGCTCACCTCCAATTTTTAATATGCTTGTAGTCCTGCTTCATACGCATCAAAGCGTAAAGGGCTCCTGACATATTTAAGCCTGTCATGCCATCACCCCACTCTTTCTCAGCTCTGGGTTTAATGTCAGGAGAAACAATGCACTACCATTTATTCAAAGATAAGGTAAAGCAACAGAGCACAGCACTTCCTATTCAGTTCACATGCACTTAAAACTTAAACTTTGTTTTAAATTATAAATCTTTTATGGCAGCTGATTAAAGTAGTCTACTACAATAACTACAAGTCGTGTTATCCTGAAAAGTTACCAAACACAAAAGTTACCAAACACAAAAGTTACCACACACAAAAGTTACCAAACACAAAAGTTACCACACACAAAAGTTACCAAACACAAAAGTTACCAAACACAAAAGTTACCAAACACAAAAGTTACCAAACACAAAAGTTACCAAACACAAAAGTTACCACACACAAAAGTTACCACACACAAAAGTTACCAAACACAAAAGTTACCAAACACAAAAGTTACCAAACACAAAAGTTACCAAACACAAAAGTTACCACACACAAAAGTTACCAAACACAAAAGTTACCAAACACAAAAGTTACCAAACACAAAAGTTACCAAACACAAAAGTTACCAAACACAAAAGTTACCACACACAAAAGTTACCAAACACAAAAGTTACCAAACACAAAAGTTACCAAACACAAAAGTTACCAAACACAAAAGTTACCAAACACAAAAGTTACCACACATGAAAGTTACCAAACACAAAAGTTACCAAACACAAAAGTTACCAAACACAAAAGTTACCAAACACAAAAGTTACCACACATGAAAGTTACCAAACACAAAAGTTACCAAACACAAAAGTTACCAAACACAAAAGTTACCAAACACAAAAGTTACCACACATGAAAGTTACCAAACACAAAAGTTACCAAACACAAAAGTTACCAAACACAAAAGTTACCAAACACAAAAGTTACCACACATGAAAGTTACCAAACACAAAAGTTACCAAACACAAAAGTTACCAAACACAAAAGTTACCAAACACAAAAGTTACCACACATGAAAGTTACCAAACACAAAAGTTACCAAACACAAAAGTTACCAAACACAAAAGTTACCACACACGAAAAATACCAAACACAAAAGTTACCAAACACAAAAGTTACCACACACGAAAAATACCAAACACAAAAGTTACCAAACACAAAAGTTACCACACATAAAAGTTACCAAACACAAAAGTTACCAAACACAAAAGTTACCAAACACAAAAGTTACCACACACGAAAAATACCAAACACAAAAGTTACCAAACACAAAAGTTACCAAACACAAAAGTTACCAAACACAAAAGTTACCAAACATAAAAGTTACCACATATCAGGGGAAAAAAAGGGTTTAGGAATTCATCATGAGACAAAGTCCAAGTAAAATTTATTTGGTGATACAGTCACTGTCAGAGGTTGGTTGTGATGAAAAGCTTCTTCGACTTACCCTTTATACTCCATGTACTGATACATTATGAATGCAAGCACTGTTGCCACTATAGCATACTGCCAGCTGCAAATAAACATAGTGGTCACACAGAGGCATGTCCCAAACAGCGTCAGGCACCAGTGGTAGTACTTGAAACTTGGACGCCAGTGGGGCGTGTCCAGCAAGGACTGCAAGGTCACTGCAAAGTTGATGAAGCCATAGCACATCAGAAAAAACATAGTGACAATGGGGGCCACGTAATCCAGGAAGGCTATAATGATCCCCATTTCAGCAATACAAAATGTCACACACAGGCAACGAACTGGCTCCCCTCGCCATTTCTTGGCAAAGAACCCAAGATGCGGGATGATATTGTCGTCAGCTATTGCTTGCAGTAAGCGTGGTCCTCCTGTACAAAGGGAAGGGAATTTTATGTATTAGCTTGAATTACAACAGTAACTCATCAGCAAACTTCTGATTGTTTAATAGTGAATGTTAATACAACCAATTTCATGTAGCTCTATTTCCAACAATGATATTGCCACCAATAACGTGCTGACTCTGGTTTGATTTTTTGTCATTAATAACTTTAATGTTGAGCGACTGCAATTATCCATGGTGATACTTCAAACCCTACTTCCAAAGTCAGTCATGGTGGACATTTTTGACTGTTTCTACGATGTCCTAAAAATTATGTTATCTCTATAACAGGATTGTAAAGAGTTAAAACCTGGTCTGCAAAGTTATAAATGTTAACATAATGAAAACCTAAGGGGTAATCACCCGCCAGAGCTTGTAATCCTGCTCCTGTGGTAGCTGTCAGAGTTCCTACAAGGACAATCCACTTTGATGGGAAGGCGACAAGGGACATCACTAGTTCCCCTTTGGTACTTATACTTTCTCCATATCTAATTTAAAATACAAGCAAAATTGTTAGGAAAGCTGTGCGATATTTATAGTTGATACATAAATGTCATGCATTTTTTTTAGTGTAAAGAACAATGATGAGAATTTTCATAAATTATATAAAATAATCACTTCTCAAAAACAAGGCAGTAATCATTCAACAATGTTTTAAATTACAGTAAATGTATTTTTCCGAGTAGAAAATATAAATATTTATTTTTCAAACCTTTGCCATCATTAAAATTCAGTAAAATCACATTTAAAAATTTTGATTATTTCAGTAGATTTTTAAATTTAATTAAAGAATTATTTTTTGACTACCAGGCTGGATGAATGCAATATCTTGATCCCAAAGAACCAAATTTCTATTGAAAATGTATCACTAATGAGTGACTCCTTACTTATCTCGCAGTAGCACACCCTCTACAGAACCTCCCAATAAAACAACAGCAGAGAGGTCTTTGTGAATATTAAGGAAAGGATTTGAGTTCTTAAAACAGATTCCATTTGAAGATGAGAGAACTACATAACATAAAGGAATTTATTGTAGTCAAAACAATGTTTTCAGGTACAAAAGTTTAATTCCAAGATGCATGGCTGCTTGGTGACGTGTATGTACCATATTTATACATAAAGCACTACTTGGTGAGGTGGGTGCAACATATTTATACATAAAGCACTACTTGGTGAGGTGGGTGCACCATATTTATACATAAAGCACTACTTGGTGAGGTGGGTGCAACATATTTATACATAAAGCACTACTTGGTGAGGTGGGTGCAACATATTTATACATAAAGCACTACTTGGTGAGGTGGATGCAACATATTTATACATAAAGCACTACTTGGTGAGGTGGATGCAACATATTTATACATAAAGCACTACTTGGTGAGGTGGATGCAACATATTTATACATAAAACACTACTTGATGAGGTGGGTGCTTCCTAATAATGAAGCACATTTTAGGTGATAATCTTTCTAAAAGGATACAAATGATAGAGGTCACTACAGCTGCAGCTATTGTGCCACGTGGAATGGATATTTGGGCATCTTTAAGATCACCAGAGTAATTTGATCCTGATTCAACACCTAAAATGGAGTCATGATTTAAAATCATCAAAACTATTACAGAAGTGACTGTTGAAACATGTGTGCTTATTTATAATGCTTATTATATTTGTGATGAAACATAATGAGGGATTGGCTTAATGTGTTAAGTCAAACAAAAGTTCAATGAACTCATCTTTTATATATTTTGGGTACATTTTTTTTTTTTTTTTTTTTTTTTTTATAAAGTTTTTTTTTTTTATTTTTTTGGTTCTTTTTTTTTTTTTTTTTTTTTTATACATAAAAGCATTTTTCTTTTAGTGTTAAGCCTGAGAAATACGAAAAATATTCAGAAATTACAGCACGTCACTCTCATCTGAGCCATACTCGAAAGGTGATTAAAAAAAATTATAGGTTTTTATTGTAAGTAAATCGAAGATATCCTCTCATCATCCTCATGTCCCTTAGTCCTTGGATTGTTGGGGCGCCACAAATGACATGTGAACCATCCTCCTCCATTCCTCTCTGTCTTCAGCACTACGCACTGCATCGCCCAGTGTTAGTCCTGTCCACTCTTTGATGTTATCCTCCCACCTTTTTATTTGTCTTCTTCTCCCTCCTCTTGTGGTCCCCTGCAATATTTCTTTGGCAAGCCCTTGTTTCCTTGTTATGTGGCCGTACCATTGTAATTTGCGTTTTTTCACAGTCACCAGTAGGTCATCGTACTCACCAATTGCCTGACGAACCCTTTCTTTCACTGTATCATTGGAGATATGGTCCCTATAACAGATGCCAAAAATGCTTCTGAAGCATCTCATCTCCATCGCCTTTATTTTCCTTTCAAGATCGGCTGTTAATGTGCAGGATTTGCAGGCATACAGGAAAATGGAGAGGACTAATGAGCGCATCAGCCTGATTTTGGTGCTGGGGGCTATATTTTTGTAATTCCATATTTTCTTGAGCTTTTTTAGTGCTGTTATAGTCTGCGCAATCCTGGACATCAGTTCGGGCTTGGAGCCTTCTTCTGAGACTATTGCTCCTAGGTATTTGAAGCGGCCTACAGTCTCTAATCTTTCCTCCACGACCTTAATTTCAATGGTGATGCCTGCGGTATTATTTGTCATCATTTTTGTCTTTTCGGCACTGATTAGCATGCCGTAGGACGACGAGGTCTTATCGAGATGCTTTACCAGGTGGGCTAGCTCTTCTTCATTCCCAGCCAGCACGTCTATGTCGTCCGCAAAGCGTAGGTTGGTGATTGTTCTGCCACCAATGCTGACTGTCCCTTCATGCGCTTCCAGAGCATCTGATGGGGGTGAGGGGAGAGCAGGCAGCCTTGTCGTACTCCAACCAGCCTTGTCGTACTCCAACCAGCCTTGTCGTACTCCAACCAGCCTTGTCGTACTCCAACCAGCCTTGTCGTACTCCAACCAGCCTTGTCGTACTCCAACCAGCCTTGTCGTACTCCAACCAGCTTTATCGTACTCCAACCAGCCTTGTCGTACTCCAACCAGCCTCGTCGTACTCCAACCAGCCTTGTCGTACTCCAAGCGTGGTCTTGAACCATTCTTCGATGTTTTTGTTGAGGAAGACTGCACTGGTGACCATATCATAGAGGTTGCATATCATGCTGGTTAGATTTGTGTTGATGTTGTAGTGCCTCATGGTGGCCCATAAAGCAGCATGCCAAACCCTGTCAAATGCTTTCTTGAAGTCAACAAAGAAGTGGTATAGGTTTTGTTGGTGTTGAGCATTTAAAATGTTAAAAGGTATTCCTGTTACTAAGATGTGTATTAAATTTCAGCTCCCTTGCTTAATGAGAGTGTTTATTTGAATTGACTAAAATAAGATTTGACACATACAAGCACAAGCCAGACCCACAACTGAAACTAAGTGAAAGCTTCAAGAAGCCTTTACTTTTGGCCTGAGTTCGATTGCAACGGGGTTGGGATTTATTGACATCAATTACTGTTTTAAAAAAAAAAATTTTAAATTGTTTTTTATTTTTTTAAACTGTAAACTGTAAAGTAATATATCAATATTACATTTGTTCCATTTTCCACTTGTCGTGGGCCTGTGCAAGCTTCATTTTTCTATAATCAAAATAATAATCTGTATAGAGGCAACAACGCAAGGAAAAGACTTTATCAACAATCTTTTTGATACCTCTAGATAGAAATGTAGGCCATTTAAGGATCCAGAGCAATATTTTCAACTTGCCTGTGATAGAAGGGAAGTAAATGCCCATCAGAACCACAAAACTTGTTGTCAGGTCACTAACCAGCTCCCTTTGTGGACTGGAGGCAACATTGGTGCCAGGTATGTTCCCACGCTGAGTATAGTGGTTATACAAGGAATCTAAAATTCAAGTTCAATATTTGGTAAATGTTTTATGTCTTCGTAATAAAGCCTTCAGTAAGATTCCCTCCCCCTTATAAGGGAGTTGGAGCTTGAGAAAACTGACACACTGTTATAAACAAATCAATTGTTTTTTTTTTGGTTCTTTCATTTTTTTCTGGCTTTGAAATATAAAATTTTCTATGTTCAGATTAAGTGGTAAAGATTTCAATATTACTTTAGAAGATGATTTAACTTGAACACCCTTCCAGACGATATTGGATTAGGATCGTGAGGTTTATCTACAGCACAATGAATAGTCACGGTGTGCATTAAATGGTTATAATAGATCCTCGGGACATGTTAGTCACCTGTTAATCTTCATATGTTCTCTAGTCTAAAACATTTTTAAAAAAATATTTTCTATGAAAGACAAGTTAAAACGCACTAAAAAGTAGAAACCAATTTAAAATTTCTTAAAATGCGTTATGCAAAGAAAGACTGCAGAATTGTAGATGAGCACTTTATGAAAACAAAGAAAGACTGCAGAATTGTAGATGAGCACTTTATGAAAACAAAGAAAGACTGCAGAATTGTAGATGAGCACTTTATGAAAACAAAGAAAGACTGCAGAAGTGTAGATGAGCACTTTATGAAGCTCAAGGATTCGAAGGGAATGTAAATGAAATTTAAATGGTTTATTTATTTTTGAAAAAATTTTCTACATTGACCTCCTTTGTATAATGCATTTTCAGAAACTTTAAATTATTATCTAGTTTTAGTGCGTTTGAATTGGTCTTTAATAGAAAGTCTTTTACAAAAAGTTTTCTTACTGTTTATATTTGTTACTTTTTAGTGTTAAAATTGTAATCTTTCAATTATGGAAAAAATTAGAATTTTTTACTTGTTAAACTCTTTACCTAGGCATAAATCTGAGCTCACCCAACCACCCATTCACCCAACAAAGCAGACATTTTCAACCACCATAACTTGAGCGAAAATGTCAACCGGCCTCCGTCAACCCAGTGTTCTTTTATAGCCGTTCACCAGGTGAGCGCTGCACAAGAAATTCTTAACATGTCACGTGTGCAAACAAAAGCAATAATGCTCCACAAGATGGATATGTGAGCAGACAGAAATTCTTTAAAAACATACATCATCCAATAGCATCCACAACTGGACTCGTATAGTATATTGTCCAGATTTCAAGAAAGACCAGACACATCAAATAACAGAAACAAGATTACTGTGCAACAAACATATCTAATAATACCCATGAGCGTAAGATAGCTAAAGCCAGGAATCCCCGGTATAAGCCTGGCCTCGTTGGCTATAAAAAATGGATCACACACATCCGTGTCGTTCACCTCCTTGCAGTAGGCTTGGTATATTGGACCCGATTCATTTTTATGGCACTCCCAGGTGGTGTTGGCATGCACTAGAGCATACCTCATCAGGCGGTCTCCCAAAATGCATATCCTGAAAAGAAAAGTATTTTGAGAAAACTGATCCCCACAATCAAAAGATTTCAATGCTAAATTTGATGATGGCAAGCAATATTTGCCACATCTTTTAACTGACATAATACAGTGTGTACAAAATATGATGACATTTAATTTGGAGTTACACTTGATAAAGCAGAATGTAATAACTTGTGATAATTTATGGATATTGCAATGGTACTACTTGTTCAATGTTACTTCACAATGGTACTGCACAAAGGTACTACATGGTGCTGCACAATGTTACTACACAATATTACTGCTCAAATTAATATTTATAATATAATGTTACTGCAGAATTTTTTAAAAAGCACAGCATCACTACAAAATGTTACTGCACACTGTTTCTGCACAGTGGTTATGAAAATGTAAATCAATGAATTAAAAGTAGACTTTCCTTATTCTTGTTGAGGCATCACTGAATTGGTTCATGGTGTCGAAATGAAATGTGACATCACTGACCTTGTTCATGGTGTCAAAATGAAATGTGACATCACTGACCTTGTTCATGGTGTCAAAATGAAATGTGAAATCGCTGACATTGTTCATGGTGTCAAAATGAAATGTGAAATCACTGACCTTGTTCATGGTGTCAAAATGAAATGTGAAATCGCTGACCTTGTTCGTGGTGTCAAAATGAAATGTGAAATCACTGACCTTGTTCATGGTGTCAAAATGAAATGTGAAATCGCTGACCTTGTTCATGGTGTCAAAATGAAATGTGACATCGCTGACCTTGTTCGTGGTGTCAAAATGAAATGTGACATCACTGACCTTGTTCATGGTGTCAAAATGAAATGTGACATCACTGACCTTGTTCATGGTGTCAAAATGAAATGTGACATCACTGACCTTGTTCATGGTGTCAAAATGAAATGTGACATCGCTGACCTTGTACATGGTGTCGAAATGAAATATCAACATAAAACGTTCATAAAAAGGCTCCACTCACTGAGCACTCCTTTCTGGCGAGGCAAAAATAAACCCTGAGAATATACTGAGCAAGGCGGTGAGCAGGAACAGAATGGCACAGAAGGCAAAACGAGACACCCATCTGACACCTAGAAATACAATAGTGGCCATACAGAGAAGTATGCAGGAGCCAAATACTCTGTAATCATTGTATCTACGTGGATCATCAGGGCTGACTCCAAATATAGCAGCTTGTGGTGCAATGTATGTCTGGGAATAACGAGCAAATATTTTATTGAACTGAGAGTAACATTACATTAGTTTATAGAAACAAAATAATATTTTTTAAACTTTAGAGCCGTTCACCCTCCATAGGTGACTAAAGCCAAAGGGTGTAGGAAAAAAAAATACATTCAGTCTTTGAATATTTATTAATACAGTCAAACCCGGTATGTTGTCCGCCCCGGGGTTCGCCAAAAAGCATCGAGATAACCGATGATCAAGATAACCGAAAACCAATATGGCGGCAATATAATAATATGTGCTTGAAATTTCTTTATGTACACGATGTGCGTTTATAAATGAGAATGTACATGTACATGTTTTTAGATTTTTTTTTTTTACACAACAGCCACTTTTGCCTCTAGATCCTTGTGTCTTGCTGTGTCAAGTTAATTGCGCGGACAACGATATTGTCATTTCATTTCAATTACTACAGCTTGAGGAAAGAATGTTTTTGTTGTATATAATTTTCAAAAGCCGACGATTGGTCATGGGGATCGAGATAACCGAGGTTAAGTGGCAAATTTGGCCGCCTTTTGTGCGGGTTTGGCGACATAAAAGAATGGACATAACCGAGGAGAAAATGCTTAGACAAAGAGAGAATTTGGTGGTTACACTTAAAAAATGTCGACATAACAGGATTGGCGAGTTAACTCAGGTCAAGATAAGTGGGTTCGACTGTATTGTCTTGTTTTTCTATTCATTTTGCATTCCCCTTCAGAAGTGAAAATTGCTAGTTACATAGCGAGGTAAAATGTTGCATAAAACACACCCAAAAAAAAACCCAACTAAACTAACAAATAACAAGTGATAATATGTTATGACTAAGTCAAAGCATGAGGACACAAAAACATTTCGGCAATTGTGAATTTCAGTTCTATAAATACATTTTTAAATAAAATGCTAGTAGTAAGCAATGGGATAAAATGTTGAGTTGTCAAAATATAAAGCTGGGAAACCATTTTACATGGGTTTTAGAGAAACACTAAGCTATTGTGATCAAAGCAATGAACTGCAAATCACATTTTTGTTAAAAGTCTGATCAAATTTTGTTTTTACAATTAAAAAAAAACCATGAATAGAAAAACAAGACAAGGAACAAAAATGTGTCTGCCCATGTTTCAACCTACTAGAAGTGTCTCTACAGTGCCCAAATAATACATAGCCACAGATATGGATGTCCCGAGAAAAAACAGCACTCCGACAGATCCCCCAAAAGTAGGACCAAGCGAACGAGATATCATAAAGTATGTCCCTCCCGCTGTCACTCTTCCGTTGGTTGCAATGGCGCTCATGGATAAAGCAGTACAGAGGCTCTGAAATATGGTACTGAGAGTTTAGTAGATAATAAATACTGAGAGTTTAATATTCATTAAAATAAAATTTCATTCAGAATTTAATAAATGAGAATCACTTTAGGTTTAGGGTGTTACTTTTACCCAAACCTGATATCCTTAAAACTGTAAAAACTGAAGAAAGTTATATTTAACTTTAAGATAATAAATGGGGTTGGATCAGTAGTCATCTGGCTCCAGGGAAGAAATAGATTTCGAGGGTAAATAATCATACTGCGTCTTGTTTTAAGCACCTGAAGTTTTAAGCATTGGTTCCAAATTATTTATTTTTTGCACTAAACTGAACCTATCAAATGAGTATTTCATTTGTTTCAGCTGTATTAAAAAGCATAACAATATGATGTTTTTTAAAAAATCATTTTAAAATCAATCTCTGAGAGGCCAGTTTTCCTAAATTAAAATGAATATTTAATTAACAATTCCAAGTTTGATAATTTAACAATTATTTTTTTTTTCAAACTATATCGTCTAAACTTCAAAAACGTGTTAGCCCAAAAGAGATTAAGACAAAAATATTGGTGTAAGTAACAAGTTCAGTTATGCATTAATAATTTTTTTTTTGTAAAATCAAAATAAAATCAAAACTTCATATAATTAGGTCTGACAGGTCCCAACATTTCATATTTTTTGGAACATAACCCAAAGTAATGTAACTTTCTTACCATACCACAGCAAATCAGTACTATAATAGAGCCCTCCATAACTCCAGCACAGCCAATAATCCATGGCACTCGCACAAAAAAAATAACACCAACAATATTCTGACAGCAGGGCAGGAAGACACCTAAAAATGTTCCCAAGTTGGCTTTCTGAAAAACACATTTTTCAAATCTTTTAAAGAAAAGCTCTCCTTTTTTTTTTCTTTTTGACTTTCATATATTTTTACAATAAGGATAGTGTGTTGCTTAATTATTTTTCTAAGATGCTTAGTTCTTTGCTTTTCAGTTAAAGCAAAATTTAAAAAATTGAAAATTAAATTGCCAAAAAATTTAGTTTTAAAAGTAAATGAAAGTTAAAAAAAACAAGTGCAATAAATTTTGGAAATGAATGAAACTAAGTTGATGTGTTTTTTAAAGAATAATCACATTCAGAGGCCCCTGCTTTCGCTTCGAGACCCCACCTCTATTGTATTATTGTACTGCCATGGGAAACTTACCCCTCCTTTCTTCGAATTACTTTTTTCATCTATTATATTACTTTCAACGGTCTTCTTTACGACACGCTGTATTGAGTCCACGTTCCCATGAAGATCATCCTGTTTTAAGAAATTGAATCATCAGTTAAGTTCTTAGATAAAACTGATGGCCTCAAGCCAATTATTGAAATTTAGTCTAAGCCAAAGTGAGAATCACAGTAGTGGCCTTCAGATAGTAATAAAACATAAATATATCAACAAATCAAGATATAATTTGTAATTATTCCGCTCATGTCCATAATTTTAACCAAAAAAATTTCCTAGGCTTGTCTGTATTGTAGCACCAGACTAAAGAATGTTATTCTTTTTCCCTAATGTGCCTTTGATTCCATTATTTTGATAAGATTAGTGTGTTATTTAGAGGGATGACATAATATTTGAGCATTTTATATTTTATTTCATTCTTTATTCTCATTATTCTTTCCACTAGGAGGCCTTCATTTAAACAAACAGAAAGTAGGACATATAGACAATAGTCATGGGATTTTCAAAACTGAATGGATGACAGAATCCCCTGAGAATATTAAGGCATCAAATTAAGAACAGCTCATCATTTTTTCAAAATTTGAAACCAAGACATAATTGAATTATCGTCAGGAACTTATGATCTGAAATACATTTTCTATTTCTCTAATTTAAATGCAGATTGTGAAAGATTATTTTTAAAAATTCAAAACAGACACAATAACAACACAATCACATCCATTTTCAGAGAAAAGTTAACACAGACAATTTTTTGTGATTCATAATAACCATTCCAGATATCATAAAAGATTGCTACATGTATCAAAATAAATTTACAAGTACAGAATGAATTAATACAAAAGTTAACACTTTCAGCTAGCTTTGAAGGACCTTTCGGCTGATGCATGTCATAGGAGTACTTTAAAAAATCATATTTCTATATTTGTTTCTATAGTTTTACAGTTGGTAGTCTCATTAAAACAATGTATTAATTTCACGATTTCTACCTGGTTAATTTTTGTTTAAAAGTTCTTATTAAAGTGATGCACAAAAGGATTGCTAAGTCTATAGAATTTTTTCTCCACATATTTTTTCTAGCGAGTTTATAAAAGATAAAATCTTGTGACACAATCCAAAATTGTAAAAATCTCAAGTTGAGGTACTCAATTATTGTTACAAAAGCCTCCGTTCGTGTATGCTCGCTGAGCTGATCTATCTTCACACTGATCTTGCCGGCCAGATTCAAAAGCCAAAGTATTGGAACATGGCAAATAATTAAGTTAAGGACTACGGCACTACATTTACAGAAACTTTATAAACTTTTAAGCATTCCTTTCAATTTTTTTCATGTCTGGTGTTAAGACCATTTTGGGAATTCTGCCTGCAGCCTTTTTGCTTCCTATTTGTTATTCCATGTATCCCATAAACAATTGTCAAGATTCCATTATCTTCTTTATAGAGGCTTCAAATAAATCTCTACTAAAAGTATCTTAAAACTACCTGGATATTTTGTTTTCAATTTTATCTACCTTCATATTTGTATGAGTTGGGAAGTCACCATGCATTTGAGATAGTGTGACTGCATGCATTTTTGTCATTAAAAATTTAGATTTTTAATTAAAGTTACCTCATAAAGCGTCAAAGTGGTCTTTTTTGGATGTTCCGTTAAGTGTTTCCTGTATTCCTCAGGGCTAACCCTTACACCTAATAGAAATATGGTAGCAAGTCAAGTAGTTTATTTAAAATTTAGTTCATTTAGCGAAGGACAGGTTGACATGAAGCATTATGATAAGGCAGAATGATGTGTATGTTTTGTTAAGATTACTTTTCAAACCCTTTTTATAGATTTCCAAACAATTATAAGTTGATAAGTTCAAAGGACAAAATAGACTTTGTTCTGCTTTATTCTCTAATTATGTGCAAAATATTCAGATGTAAAATCCTTATCCTATTGGACACATAAATTTCAATTTCTTAAGCTTCCTTGCTTGATCTTTTAAAACAGTTGCAAATAGAATTTTCTTTCAACATGCAGGAAATCTGTACTGTGTTTGAAAAAACCAAACATATATTGGTTATTGAGTGCCAAAATGGAAGATCAAGATAAGACATGGACTCTGCATATTGTATGAAAAACAATCGCACCAGTTGACGAATGATTGCCTCCATACTTAGGAAAAAGAATGTACGTTAGCCTGGAACAAACATTACATTTCATAGAAGGATATGCAGAAATTTGTTTTAAGTGAAGAACAAGAACTTTGTTTGTTTGTTGACTTCAGAAACTTTATGAGGCAAATATTGTGTTTCAGAATAGAAGCCAATAGAAAAGAATGTCTCAGAACGTCTCTTTATCAACAGTCAAAGTGAAGCTTGAATTGTGATTTTTGAATGAATGACAACAAATGGGGTTCTTTTTCCTATCAGTCAATCCAAAAAAGAATACATAAAATCTATTTAGTCTTTGATAATATAAATGACAATTTACAAAAATATCTTTTGGTGATTTGTGTATATTTAAAAATGATTTATGTTTACCCCATGGTTTTCAAAATGGCTGCACAGTTAAGCCGTACTTTTCATTTCTTTTGGGATAGTAAGAGCCAAACATAAAAAAATTTGGCAAGAACAAGATTGGCTTTCGAGGAAATATGGTGTTTGAAGGGAAAATGTAAACGATTAAGCTTTAAAAGCCAGAGACAGAATAATTCTTCTACAAATATTAAATAAATCTAGGCCTGCCTTATAAATCAGTTTGTAAATGCTTTGAATAAAGCATTCAATGCACATCAAATATGGACATAGACAATGAAAGCTGGAATATTGCTGGTCAACATATCAGAAAATGCATGATCCACGATTCACAAAAATCAATGAATGAAATATATCATCTACCCTGTCTTTATTTATTCTTGTTTTGAAAAAAACTTTATTGCAATCACTTAGATTGGTGTCCAGGGACACTTAAGCGAAGAGAAAGATTGCACCATGAAAAATTTATAAAACGGCAACCAGATAACCAGGGAAGATGAAATGCATAACTAATGGAGATTTTTGTTAGACTCTTTTTCAGGATTGTTCTGGTTGATCCTATCTCTGGAAAGGAGCTTCATTTGTGTAGATTTTAACAGAAAGTCTCCATTAAATCTTTACATTTGGTTTAAAATAATCACAACAATTAGTAATCAAATGTATTGCAGTTGAAGTTGCAGATTATTTAATTCATACAATTAACAAATTAACAATTTGCTTCAAAATCATGTGCCAATTTTAAATATTTTAAGATTGAAGTTCCAAATCTGCCTAAAATTAAAAATGTTTAAGTTTTACCATTCAATTGGTTGCCAGTGAAATGATTTAGAGCTCACTGCTCATGATTTAATTACAATATCATTAGGGGACTCACTTGAACTGCCTTCCTTTACGTCCAAAACTGACTGAAATGAACTTTGTGGAAGAAACTTTTCTGCCAGATATATGAATAACATAAGTTATCAAGGCAGCAACTATTTATCTAATCAGCATTAACCAACCTTCACTACTTTTTAAAGCAGATAAAGCTCCATTTAATTTTAAAAATAACTACAAAGCTTTTTAAACATTTACTAAATAGCTAGTATTTTCTGCACTTTTATAATGATGACCTGCATATAAGGGGCCATCCATAAATGACGTCACGCGTCAGGGGGGTGGGGGGTGTCAGATTTTTGTGAAGATGTGTGACGAGGGGGAGGGGGGGAGCCTCAAGCCATGTGACGTCAAATGAAAAGCAGAATGTTGTAGTAAAGAATTTCACTTCATAACACTGAATGACAGACATTTTTTTACATCATTTTTAAAAAAACAAACAACTATAAATATTTCATTTTAAAACTACTATCACTGAGAGCATCAGTGCAAGTTTCGAAGAATGGCCTCAGATCAAGTTATAGGACACCCAGCAGTAGGAGAATCGGAATGTAGTTACAATGACAGTCGTGAGAATTTATGGCTAAATCTGGACAGAAGAAGTGGGATGGAGCGGGAAAAAAAGGTTGATCGCGGGGTGGTGGGGGGTATCTTAGTAAAAGCTCAAGAGCAGGGATTCTAAAGATTTTTTTTTTGCAGCGCTGCAGGCCCACTCCCTTTTACAAATCCCTCCCCTAACCGTATAAATTACATTATAATAAAATTTAAAATAATTAAATAATTTAGTTATCGTAGTTTTATTTCTTTAATTAACTTTTTATAAACAGGGGAAAAAATTACCTATACACACAATGCGCCAATGAAATTCACCATTGACTGCTGCTAATCAAAATCCATTAATTTAAAAAAAAATATTTTTTTTTTTAAAGCAGCAACAACTTGCAATTGCAGCAAATAGAATCAGTGGCGTAGTTAGGGTTGGTACCACCCCGTCGTGGTGTCAACATCCCTACCCTTTTTTTAACGATGTATTTCTTCTTGTTAAACTTAGTCCAAAGTATAAGAAATACAAGAACAACAAAAAATTAATTGATGTCAGGGGGTGAATGTATTTAAGAACTGCAACATTCTAAGAATCGCCCACTGTTATCAAAGGATAGTTTTATTTCTCAGAATTTAGATAAAAATAGCTTCCTGTCGCTTACAAAAATTGCCTAACACTTCATTCGGCTATGAAACATGGTCAAATGGTGTGCTTCTGACCTAATAATAGGGTAACCTATTTGCTGACGCATCAACCTTGAAATTTTAATACTAACGAAATAAACACGCATTTTGATTGGTTACATGGGTGGAAAATGTACTAGTCATCTGTTATCCTTTTACGAATTTCGGTTAGACCGATCAGTGTGTGCTCTGTAATAACGCTATCTTTCAATTTGGTGTCACCTCCTGAGTCTGTCTGAGATGGTGTCGGCCGGTGCGGTCCGCACCCCCTAGCTACGCCACTGAATACAATTTTTTTGGTTTCCCACACCTTAAGGCTGGGGAGGTACTTGTACCCCTGTTAAAGAACCACTGATTTAGTGGAATGTTTCTGACACGGGTGTAGTAATTTGATATCCATGGGAGGTGAATTTCTTTAGGGTTTGTAAAGGACACTAGTGAACACAGGGACTTTTTTTTAAAAAAAAGGGGGGGGGGTGCAGAGATTTGTGACGTTATATTTGAGGGGGGTATAACTTTTTGTGATGATTTGTGACGATGGGGGGAGAGGGGGTAAAAAATCGGCAAAATTTGCGTGACGTAATTTATGGATGGCCCCTAAGAACTTGAAATTTGGGATAGGGACTATTCGCTTTTGCCATTTCCCTTATGTTTCTGTGAAGTGCTTCTGCATGATTATTCATCCAACCAATGTTTTTTTTTGTGATGCCACTTAATTATGCAAGATCATCACAATTTCCGTTTTCAAATCGACAATTCTTAAAATTCCTTGTCCCAGTGGCAATCTCAATATTTTTGTTTATTTGAAAAATGGAGGATTTCCAACTACCAGTTGACAAAAATATACAATATATCACTCTATTTCTTAACCCCTACAGCACTGGGCACGTCTTTTTGCAGTGACCTACTCTTTTCCCTATGGCCCAAGCGCGTCTCATTTCAACAGCCGATTTTTTCCCTGTGGCTCAAGCACGTCTCTTTGCCACATTGAGGGGTATCTAATATAAACACAAAAACGAGGATATAACCTTTCACCCCAGTCTCTGGCAAAATGTTTATTCATTAGGGGAATAGTAGAATTTTATATTGCCTTTTAAATGATGAAAATCAACCAATTACTGACTTTTTTTGTCGGATCTGTATTTATTGTTTCCATGGAGCTAACTAGCGATACTGTTGATGAAAATTTATGCCTACTTGATGAAACCTTTTGTTCTGAAACTATTATTGAGCTTTTATTGAGATTAGATGATTCTGATGAGGAAGAGTGGGTTGAAATTGCTGAAGGAAGTAGGCCCACTTTAGCTCAAAATAGCTCAAACGTAGATATTGATTTAGATGAAGATCAACTGGAAGGTTGGAACAAAGAGGCCCCATACCTCCTAAGACTCTTTATAATCCCCTAGTGTGCCCATTGCCAAATGAAAAGTGTGAATAAAACAAATTGGTATTTTTAACACCCTTATCTATTTCTCAACAGATAATTCTTTACATGTTATCAATTGTTTAAAAAAATAAAGTTACAAATTAATTTGCAAACCTATCAAATTTTGGCTCATTCCAAAATAATGTCTGGGCCACAGGGAATAATTAGCAAAATAATAGCCAGTGCATAGCAAAAAAAGTAGGTCAGTACTAGAAGGATTAAAACACTAATAAATGTGGTGTGAAGATCTGTCCCATGTTCACATTTTAATATTCAGTAATTTGCTTCTGCATGATTATCATCTGATTTCTTTAGTTTAATTTTCTTTGACTGCTCATAGAAATTCACCCCACATAGTAAAATGATAATAAAATTTATGATCTGTTTAAAATAAGATTTTTAAAAACAGATAATTAGATTTCTAAATATTTTTATCATCCTTACTATCAACTTTTATATTTTAGAGAAAAGTACTCACTTGAGGGAAATCGCTCATGCTCATCAAATATACTTGTTGGTATGATCATTGCAGCATCTTGTCCTGGTTTTCTAAATTGTCCTTCTTTAACATAGCTGACTGAAAAGCGGCCTTGTTCTTTTTCGGAGCCAGATGAACTGCTAACTCGAGCAGGAGATGCAGCTCCAATGATCCAAGAGGTACCAGCACCAGGTTCTTTGGTGTTCTTCTTCATTCATTAACTGTTATTGTGTCACTATACTCAACTAAACAGAGGCTGTCCAGTATTATATCAGGTAAAAATTGTTACAAAATTATTTTTAAAAAAATAATTCAGAAAAAATAATTTTGGATGAAAGATTGGATGGAAAAAACATTAACAAAGTATACAAAAATTTGAATTTAATGTCTACTTATGATAAGATTAAACAAATTGATGATATTAAATACTAGGCGACCCGCGGCGTAGCATACGCCGTGAGCTTGTTGGGGTGTGCGCATGGCTGGCAAGCGAAGGTGGATATAGCCCACCAAACATTGTCGACAGCAATGCGTGAACTTCCCATCTACTAAAGTTACTTGACAAAAAACGTGAACTCAAGTTACGCACATTTAAGAATTAACATTTTTGCTACACCCCTTCCCCCCCCCCCCTTTTTTTCATGATACGTCACTGCACACTTTTTATTTCATGCCCAAGAACTCTATAAATATAGCCGACCCGCGGCTTACCATATGCCGCGAGCTTGTTGGGGTGTGCGACGTGAACTTCCCATCTACTAAAGTTACTTGACAAAAAACGTGAACTCTAGTTACGCCCATTTAAGAATTAACATTTTTGCTACACCCCTTCCCCCCCCCCCTTTTTTTCATGATACGTCACTGCACACTTTTTATTTCATGCCCAAGAACTCTATAAATATAGCCGACCCGCGGCTTACCATATGCCGCGAGCTTGTTGGGGTGTGCGCATGGCTGGCAAGCGAGGGTGGTGCAGGAGGGGGGGGCGGTAGCTCCACCGCATTGCGCATGTCTCGAGACCAACGATGGGCAGGCAAGGGAAGGGAGGGGAGGGTTTGCCTGCGTCTTGCTTGCTCTGGCGTATCTTCTATATATAGCCTGCGTCGTCTTGCTGGCGAATTATATATATAGATTCTATTTAAACATTGAAGCTTTTCACATTTTGAATATAAATATTTTGGATGAAGTTAAATGATTTCTTTTTAACTTCTTTATTATTTCTAGTATTTTGAAACATATACTTAATACCTATGTTCTAACTATGTACATTAGGAAATGACGTCAATGAGCTGTTAAGCCAGTGCACTTAATGCCCTCCCCAAAACACCCACCACAAGCCCGAAAGATCCCCAAAATATCAGGCCGTGAAGCAGGACTTTGTAGATCTCCTCCTGCTAGGACAGTCCTCACCCATAACTTCAATGACAGAGGCCATTTCAACCTAAGGACATTCCATTGGTCAATAGTGTCGCTTTTTAAAAAAACACTAGCAATCGACTTTCCCAGGGGTTGGGATGATGCATTTATGTCCTAATATCCTCCCCTGCCCATCCCAGGGAAGCTTCAGAACCCTCTAATAGGTTTTCTACAGTAGGCTTCTACCTCATAAATAGTTCACGAAGTAGCTGGGGCAAAACAGTTGCCAAGGTAACAGCCTCCTCAAGGGCTGTGGGTTTAGAATTAGTGGCATGAGGCTGCCACTACCCGATTGATGCCTCATATCCGCCATCAACAACATAGTAATCATGATCCCTACCCTTTTTCTACTGTTATTTCAAATACAGATATGGCCACCGTTGGCAAAGTCTACATTTAACACTGTAGTTGCTACATTTTGGCAGATACCATGCATGGTGGTTAAAAAAAAAAGTTCCCCCGTTAGCAGCAGGGGGTCAGTGGCAGCACCTCTTTAGTCAGCATGCCACTACAGACATGTACTAATTAATTAATCTGAATTTTTCTTAGGTTCAATTAAAGATAATGAACAAAAACTATGTTGCGATCCTAGGACTATTAAAATTGTTAAGCCACAGGCATCACTAGCCTTTGATTACCATCAATTACTTTTATTATCTTGAGGCAAACTACTTTTTTTTAATTTCAAATTTTAAAATAAAATATTCATTTCAATTTCAATCAATTTATATGGATTGAAATCAAAGTTTAAAGATCACAATAACTTTTATTTTTCACAGAAAAAAAAGACCAGCTTTCAGGCCTAAAATGTTCCAAATAATAATAATTATTCTGGAATGCCTTTTTAACAGTTGGGTGGTTACAAATAATTGATTTGCAAAAGCTTTCCCGAGATAAGGCGACAATAAATTTGGAAATCATTGTCATAATAAAGTTTGGATCACTCATTTCAAAACAGGTGCTTGTGTAAGCATTTATAAAAGGCTTTGCCATTTATCAAAATGAAGGGGGAGAGTGTTCTGTCTATTTGATTTATGTTGGTCTTTTTTTTTTTGGGGGGGGGGGTATTTTTTGTTCCCAGTGTTTTTGCAGGTTTTAATTTTAAAAAATGTACAATCCATGTAGTATTCTTAATCCTTGTTCTAAAATGGTACCACAGTTGGCAAGGTGCTTGTGTAAGCATTTATAAAAGGCTTTGCCATTTATCAAAATGAAGGGGGAGAGTGTTCTGTCTATTTGATTTATGTTGGTCTTTTTTTTTTTTGGGGGGGGGGGTATTTTTTGCTCCCAGTGTTTTTGCAGGTTTTAATTTGAAAAAATGTACAATCCATGTAGTATTCTTAATCCTAGTTCTAAAATGGTACCACAGTTGGCATAGTTCATTCTATTCAATTTCAAAATAGAAAAGAGTAGATTTGTTAAATTGAATTACACTTACACACACAAGTCCAAGACAAATAGGCTTAAATAGCTTGGCTTATTTAGTTCTACTCATACTCATACAGCACAGTTAGCAAACCATAATCTCAGATACTGATGAATGACAATGTGGATATCCCTCACTCAAGTAAGAGTAGTCAAGAGACTCAAAGAGTCAAGTCAAGGCTATTACTATTGACTATTGTCAATGATTGTGTGCTGACAAGCCCCTTCTTAGCCTTACCTTAACTAACTCACCTCTACTTAAAAGTTGCCAATCACACTCTGACTTACAAACAGCAAGTCCGCACTTTTTTTTGTGACTTAAAAACTTTTACTTAACACTATCGCTAACACTGTACTAACATACTATAATGACTATTAGTATTAAGTGAAAATAACACATTCATACTAATATTAATAATATATTCCTCCTTAACATTTACCTATATATTAATATTAACTATGACTATAAATTATTATTAATTATAATTATTTATTAATATTATATTATTAATATTAACACACGTCACACTTGCTTATTATTATTATAACATACATTAATGCTATAGGCCTACAATTAACCAACATTTTCATTTAGACTGTTGCAACGTAAAAAGATGTTTGCTGAAAAAATAATTTAATAAGATACTTTTATTTGTAAACGTTGGAAGGTAAAAGATCATTAGCCCCATGGTGAAGTTCCATTTCTTGACTTTGCTTGATGTCGAAATTGGGCATCAAATTGAATGGCGTTTACCCAGAAACTTATTTGTTGACACATACTGCGCATGCTCAGACTCTCTAAACTTAAAATATTGAAAGTTTAAAAAGAAATAATTTTTATAGGAAATAAAAAATAATTTAAAAACAATTAATTATACAATTTGCATAAAACTTCAGCCGAAGAAATAATTCATACAAAATTGTGCAAATGTAAGGTTTTGTATAAAAGGGATGGGGTGGGTGTTGAAAATGTTAAACATCATTTGATTTAAATTCAGAGTCTAATTTTTTTTTAAAGTATTTTTGTTAAATACGCCTGTAAAAAAAAAAGGGGGGGGGGTGGTTCCATTAATTACGTCAAAAATTTTGTAAGCATTATTTTTTATCCCCTCCCCCCCACTTGTCAACAACTGTCAAACTTTCAATGAGACCCCCCCCCACACCAGAGGCGTAGCGTGGTGGGGTCAGGGGGGGGACAGATGTCCCCGGGCGCCAGCTAGTTAGGGGCGCCAAAATGTGCTTTGATATTATTTTATTGATGAAAATAATGGGTTTGAGAGTTGAAAAAAAGAAAAAATGGGCGCTAAAAATGGATCTTGTCCCCGGGCGCGAATCTTGTCCCCGGGCGCCAAACACCCTCGCTACACCACTGCCCCCCCACACACCCACAAGTAATTATGTCAACATTTCTATACCCCCACCCCTTTTTAAAAATGAATATGTCAATAAATATATAAATACATTTTACTTTGTGCTGGTCTATCTCCCCCCCTCCCCCCCCCCCCC